CTTGATGCCTGCATGTACACAAGTGTGTGTGTGTATGTGTGTGTAAGAGAGAGAGAAAGGTAGAAAGGTATAGGGGTGTGCTAGTACTTTGCATTGCTGAAATACCTGACAAACGATTGAAGGGAGTTAAGAATTATTGTGGCTGAAGGTTTCAGAGGGTTCAGTCCAGCATGGTGGGGAAAGCCTGGCAAAGCAGAGCAACTCACATCATCGTGGCCAGGAAGCAGAGAAAAGGCAATGCTAGCACTGGACTGGCTTTCTCCATTTTCCTCCTTTAGTCCCAGACCCTGGGATACTACCATTCACATTCAGGGTGGTTTTTTCCTACCTCAGTTAATCCTTTTTGGAAATGTCCTCACAGACACACCCAGAGGTATGCCTGACCCACATCCTAGGTATTTCTAAATCCAATAAAGTTGACAATTAAAACCAACCATTACAATGAGTTTATAATTAACTTCCTGATTGCTTTCATTTACTCTGACAGATATAGATACATATAGTTAGGATATACTAGTAGTATATGATTGATTGGAAAATCTTAACTCTAAAAACTCTGTGCTTAAATATAGTGTTTTTTCTGTTGCTAAAAATCTACACCCAACACTAAAACTTCTCCATCCTTAATTTGATTCACTAACCTAGTTTGTTCATTTACAAATGATAAAAAAGGTCAAAATGCAATCTAGAAAGCATAAATGAGAAACAAAAATTAGCAGATATTCCCCCAAAGAATGTCACACATGTAATGAATACTAACATAGCCATATAAAATTTTTATAATTATGTTTAATTTTACTTTTTGTCTCTAATTTACTCTGTTTGATGTATTCAGTCTATAAAGGAAGTTGGATAACATCCAAAGTTATATAAAAGCTACCATTTTGCTCAATTCATGGAGCTTGATTTCTTTAAATTAGATTTTTGCTTTTAACTAGATTTTTTAATGCTTGCAAATATTCTCGGCTTTTCAGTCTGAGGACTTGAAAACTAAGGTAATAGCTTAGATTCAAATTTGAAAAAAATAATTTTGAAGGTTTTTGTGCTGAGTTACACTCAAAATGCAATTCTCATCTATTTTTATTGGACATTATGCTCCTTATTAATTCCTTGATAAGCATTTTCAGACTTGCAGAAGGTGGTTTTGTTTGTTGAAGAATAAACAAAATTATTTTGTGCCATGTACATGGCTGCCTTATTACTATATATACACTGACACACAAAGCAGTAGGAATATATGCCAAAAAATGTAAACAACTTAAATGTACAACAATAAAATAAAATGGTTAAGTGAGTTATAGTACACCCATCTGAGTAACTGATATTCTGCATCCATTAGAAAATTTAGTTTGGAAGATTAGTATGATAGGCGAAAGGTCATAATATACTGTGAAATGAAAAATTTAAACCTACTTTTAATCCTAATTGGTATACTCTAATTTTTATTTTATGGCTCTAATTTACCTATACCTATGTACATATGCACGCACGTAAGTTTACTTAATTACTGGAAAAATAAGAATGACACTCATAATATTAATATCCTTATGTATATCAACTTAATTATCTTACTTAGAAAATTGTGTTATTTTTAAAATAATCACTGGCACATGAAATTGTAAATATACACTACCATCCTGAATATATACTATATATTGGAACACTTAAAAATAAAATCACCATTTTTCAATAGTTAAATCACTTTTGAAAGTGAGCATCTGTGTCAGGGTTCCTGGGCTGGTGTGTGAGGACACTGCTAACTGGTGACTGTTTAGTGAGACAACGGCTCACTTCCTCCTTGGTCCACAAGTCAGAGGGTTTGGTGGCCCAAAACAATGTTTGAATGAGGTATTACAGGATTGATTTAGTTTACTGTGATTAAAGTTTTAAATATTATCACTTCATTTTAGACATATTGCATATAGAGAATAAAGAATCATTTTATATCATTTTACACTATTTTGGGAACATTATAATGAGTACATTATTTCAATTTAAAATAGAATAAAGCTGAGTGAAATTATTCTGGTAATGAAGAGTTTGGTGGAAAGGATATAAGATGAGACTAATGCTGGATGCTTATGTTTCTTGCAAGGATAGGTCAGTAATAAGCACACTATGTTTTGTCATAGACATTCCCAAAACCTGGCTTATAAAAACAATTTAAATATGAGAAGTATAGCCAGGAGCAGCGTCTCATGCCTGTAATCTTCCAGATATAGGTAAACTGATTCTCAAATTAATAAGAAAATGCAAATGGCCAAGAACAGTCAAACCAATCTTGAAGAAGATAAACAAAATCGGGGGAGTAATTATTGAAGACATGATATTATTAATTGCAAATTACAGCAAAGAAGACATTGTGGTAGACACAAATAAATCCAACAAACAGGAAAGAGAATGCAGCAAGAGTCCACATGGATATGTTCATCTAATTTGTGATGACACCACAGTGCAATGGGAAAGGACAGCCTTTCTAATGCTTGGTGCTAACTGGATATCTTTATGTTAAGGAGAAGATATCTGATACAGACACAAAAAATATTCCAGATGGAACACATACTTATAAATTTTAAGAGAGTAGAAAAATATTTTCATGATCTGTGATATGCAAAGATTTCTTAAGCAAGACACAAAAAGTTGACCATAAGAAAAGAAACAATAAAGTGGGCCACAATCTGAATCTTCCTATCTTCCCTTCCCCTTAGAGCTTATATTTCTTTTTTTCCCATTGTACAAATGAAGGAAAAAGTTCAGATAGGTAACATGAACTGCCCCACATCACTTAAAATAGTAACAGCCACATAGCAGTAGTAGTAGAAGAAGAGCAGCATTTAATAATTGTTGAACACATACTATAACTCGGCGTAAATTCATTATCTCACTGATCCTCACAAGAGAGCTTTGAGGTAATAATTACTATTCTTACTTTACAAATGATAAGGCTGAGGCTTGGAAAGTTTAACAATATGCTCAAAGCTGAATATGGTTAGATCCAGAATTCCAGTTGAGAAATCTGACTCCCACGCCTATCCTGTACTCTAAGTCCAAGAGACCTTACCTGATACACCTTCTACAAGGACATAAAGGGAAATTCTCACACCTTAACACACAGCTAGCACCCCTTCCTGCACTCTGCAAGTTCTATCTTACCACGTAGAAGTCCCCTTCTTCACTTCATTGTGCTCAGCTGGTCAATTCTCCTTTACCTGCCCAATCAATGCCTGAAGGACAAGACCTAACCTGTCTCCACTGGCACTGCCATCCCATCAGTTAATCCTTTTGGTCCTGTAGTTAAGTGTGAAGAACCCAGCAAAAGGCCTGCCTTCCATTTTTTAAGGCCTTCAGGACCCACATATTACATGGGTCAATCATATACACCAAAGAGTTTGCTTATGTAAACAAAAAAGTACTAGAAAAAAAGAAATATATGCCTAAATTTCAAAAATTGACAAATGGTCAGGGGAATTTAAATTTGAGATTCAGGAGTCCTCTTCCTCTGCTTATGCACAAAAGGGAGAATCACTTGCATTCAGATAAGGCAAACAGCCATCAAATGGACACCGAATACAATGCTGTTTATCTCCCCAAAATTTGAGAATGTGAACATGATAACACAAGGGCTCCCAGGTGTCAGTTCTACTATCAAGAGAACAAGATTTAGTTGTGGCTGAGATGTACTAATGAAAAAGGGCAGTGATCTAGGATGGGACCCAATTCAGCTTTATACCTTTAATCTAGTATGTATCGCTAATTTTATCTATGAAAATGAGCAAGTTATTTCATCTCAGTTTCCTCCTGTGTAAACCAAGATTCTTTACAAAACTAGCAGTGCTACTTTTTGCTTACTGTATGTGTGAGTGTGTGTGTGTGAGTGTGTGTGTGTGTGTGTGTGTGTGTGTGTGTGAGAGAGAGAGAGAGAGAGAGAGAGAGAGAAATGGAGGGAGGGAGGGAGGAAGAGAGAACATAAGAATTGGAATTTAAATGAGAAGAAGAAAAGGAGAGAAATAAAAAATAGTCCATTGAATACTCATAGCCCAGTAAATATTTTATAGGATATAACAAAACCTTGCTTCAAAATAGTTTTACTTGAAAAAAGTAGGGTATTGTTTGGTTTTGGTCACTGTGACAAAACATCTGACATAAACAACTTAAAGGGAGGAATTATTTATTTTGGTTCACAGTTTCAAAGGTTTCAGTCCATCATGTTAGGGGGGGAATGATAGAGCTGAGCATCTCACATCATGGCATCCAGAAGGGAGAGGAGGAAGAGAGAGACAAACTACTTGTGCTAGCTGCCTTTCTCCTTTTTTTATTGCATCCCAGCTTCCAGCCTATTGAGTGATACTGTCCACAATCTGGGGAGTGTCTTCTCCTCTTTGTTAATTCTCTCTGGAAACACCCCACAGACAAACCCAAGGGTATGCTTTATAATCAGTTAGGGGATTCTCAATGCAGTAAGGTTAACAAGATTAACCATTAGACAGGCATGGTGTCAAAGGCCTGTAATCTAGAACCGTTAAAGTTATCACAAGACCCTATTTGAAAAACAAACTAAAACATAATGATTGGGTGCGTGTCTCAGGTAGTAGCATGCTTGCCTAATTAGCGTGAGATCCTGAGTCAAACCACAGTACCACAAAATGGAAGGAAGGAAGGGAGGGAGGAAAAGAGGGAGGGATGGAGGAAAGGGATAATATCTTAGGTACTAGATACAAATTCCTTTGATATACACAGATTAAACGTTTCATTTAACTTCCCTTTTCCAGCTGATGATACTTTTTGCTGATTTATTGCAAGCTAAAAGACAAATATATGTATGAGTTTTATGTAATCTCAGAATTATGCCTCAATCTTAAAGTGATAAACAATTTTCCATCATTTAATTCTCTCATGTATAGAACTGTTCTATTCTCTGAATGAAAAAAGGAAGATGTCTTTAAAACTACCTGATACCATTCTCAGTCTGATAAATATTTTTTTTTAATTCTGTATTTCAGGCCCTGCTTGATACTCAGAATCTTCTGCGTGCACAAATCACAAATTTTACATTCAACCTGGGATTTTCAGGGAAATTTTACCATACAGGTAAGAAAAGAAGATTAACTGTACTCATAAGGGTCCTCTGGTCACTCTATTTAAAATTGTACAACCCTCTTACTCACACTTTCTTACATTCTTTACATCCTTCCCTGGTTTTTCTTCATGTCATTTAACTCCATTGAACTTAGTATTTTTAACCTTTAGAAAATGTTAATGGTTTGAAAGTTTATGGTACTATCTAATGCCTTTTTAATTGAACTATAATCTACATATATAAAATATGTAAGTAACAAATGTGATCTTCAGTGAATTTTCAGAAACTACATAGCTGTGCAACTCATAACAGATCAAGAAAGAGAACAGTTCCTGAATCCCTCCGCCTTGCACCTATTAACACTTGCTGGCTTCTGTTAAAGAATACCACTATCCTGACTTCTAACATCTTGTTAGTTTTGCCTGACTTGAGACAGGTGCTAAAGGATCCACCTGCACTCATATTTTTTGTTCATTATTTTGGTTTAATAAATACTGTTATGTATATGTTGTCATTCTTTCATTTTTCACTTCTGTGTATTATTTCATTGTTTGAATATACTAACATTTCTTTGTCCATTACACTCCAGTGTGGTTTGTTGGATTTCCAATGGCTTTTTGAATAGCCATTGTAAACATTTTTCTACTACCTTTCAGAGGACTTAAGTTTTCTTTTTTCTATTGGTTATCAGCCAGGAGTGGAATTGCTAGCATGGCATACATATGATAAACTTTAATAGAAAATGTCAACTAGCTTTCCAAACTGGTTTAACCAACTTATATCGCAATAGTCTGAGTGATACTCCTGTGGCTCTACAACCTGGCACTATTTCATCCTGTTTTTCTTTTTAATTTTAGTCTTTATGGAAGGCATATAGAAATATCATTTGATGGTTTTAATGTGTATTTCTCTGAAAAATAGCAAATGAGTTTCTCTCAGAGGTTTCTTAGTTATTCTGGAGATTCTCTTTTGAAAAGCACTTTTTTTCTATTTTCTGGTTTTTATTTTTTATTTTATTTTATTTTATTGTTTTTACATTTACTTACCTGTATACGTTGTTTTGACCACCTCTTCTCTTCCCCAGCCTCCAAGCTGGTTTTTATTATTGATTTGTAGAAAGTCTTTATATATTCTTAATGAATGCTTTCTCAATTATATGTGTTGCAAATAGGTTCTCTCACTGCCTAGCTTTTCTTTTCTTTTTCCTATTGGTATTTTTGAACAAAATATTTCATTTTAATGTTGCCCAATTTATTATTTCTTTTCTTTATGGTCAACTTTTTGTGTCTTGCTTAAGAAATCTTTGCATATCATAGATCATGAAAATATTTTTCTACCCTCTTAAAATTTATAAATATGTGTTCCATCTGGAATATTTTTTGTGTATGTATCAGATACCTTCTCCTTAACGTAAAGTTATCCAGTTAGCACCAAGCATTAGAAAGGCTGTCCTTTCCCACTGCACTGTGGTGTCATCACAAATTAGATGAACATATCCATGTGGACTCTTGCTGGATTTCCTTTCCTGTTTGTTGGGTCTATTTGTGTCCATCACAATGTCTTATTTGCTGTAACTTCATAATTAATAATAATATCATGTCTTCAATAATAATTCCAATTTCGTTCATCTTCTTCAAGATTGACTTGACTATTCTTGGCCATTTCATTTTCATATAAATTTTAAGAATCAGCTTGCCAATATCTGAGAACAATTTTTGCAAGAATGTTGATTTAGATTGAATTAAACCTATAGATTAATTTGTAGAAATTGGCATTTTAAATGTTACATCTTCAAGTACTTGGATATATTTAGGTCTTCTTTAGTTACACTTATTAATTTGTTAGTATAATAGTGGTGTATTGTTTTTATTTAATTTTCCACTCTTTTGTTGATGGCATTTAAAAATACACTGATTTTGTGCATTGATGCTGTATCTAGTAACTTTGCTACATTTAGTTACTAATTATATAGTTTATCTATTCATTCTTTTACATGTTCTACCTATGCTATCATGTAATTTGTGAATACTGGCATTTTTATTTTTCCTTTGCTGACCTTATGAATTTTGTTTCTTTTTGTGGCTGATTGCACTGACTCTGGCTCAGATCTTGAGAAGTTTATTTTATTTTATTTTTGAAACATGTCTGGTTATATAGCCCAGGTTGGCCTGAAGTCATGAGTCTCCTGTCTCAGCTTCCCAAGTAATGGGATTAGAGGCTTATGCCACCATGCCTAGCCTCAGGTCAATTTTAAATAAAAGTGATGATGGTAATAGCACTTATTCTTCACTTAGTGGGAAATCTTTCAATAGATTTCTTCTTGTTCTCAAGAGGAATCTTGCAATAAAATATTTTGTAACTACTCTATTATCTTAAGGACCCTCCCTTCCTTCCCTAGGCTACTCAGAGTTTCATTATGAGTGAGTGTTGAAGGGAGTTTGTTTTATAATTATTTCATTATCTCTTCTTATACTAAAATGGATTTCCCATGAAACCTTTATTATTGTAATAGCAGAAATTATAACAGTGTCTATTAAAAATGAATTAATGAACAAATGAGCTAGTGGTAGTAAGATCACCTTGAACTGTAAGTAGCTACATGGAACAAGACCACCATATGAAATTTGACCCTGCTGTGTTGCAAAAGAAAAAAATCACTCTAAAATATTAAGAATAATTTTCAAAACATAATCTGTTCAAATATATTTTATCTTATCTGAGGATAGCTGAATACAATAGTATTGAATGAATCAGGCAATATTTCAGAAGTTAAAAGAAAGATTACATATAGTTATATATCCTGTAATGACATAGTCTTCAGTCATTAAAAAGCAAATATTATCTTAAATGTAACTGATAAAGAAGGAGCTCTTGAGATTAGAACATGCTACAACTTGCATGAAAATAAAAGGGGATGGAATCTACGTAACTATGGGAAACTTATTTTAAAGTTTATAAAACTAAGAGTGGTTAAGTAATGTGGTCACTGTCACACAGCTATTAATACAGACACTGGATATCTATGCAAGGATTCATAATGAACTAGTTTTAGCGGGTATCGATGAAGAAGATAATTTGGGGATTGAGTATCAGAGATGAAAAGGAGTTACTTTCATGTATTACTTTTGTACTTCTTGTATTTTATGTCATCTGTACATGTGTAATCTAAACAAGTATGCAAATAATTTTTAAAACTGATATACTCAAACAAGTTTATCAAATAGTTTTCTATAACTTCAAATGCTTTTCAATTTTTAATTTTGTAATATGGACATGAATTATTTCATATTTATTTAATGGTCTTCTTCAAGGGTTTAATAAGTTTCCCTGGTGAGAATTCTACCTATATACAAAATCAATATAATTTTCATATGCACATTAGTAACTAATAGTAATTTCACTTTTAGATAGAAGTAATATTGCATTTCTGTAGTAAGTGAATTTCTGTTTGTTTCCATGGCAGTTAGAGAGTCATGAGACTTGGCTCAGGTATATTCATGTCACTTGATGTATAATACATACAATGTATATAGTCATACAACTACATGTCTTTGGTTATTGATTTGTTTTTGTTTTAAGAGTAACTTAATGTAAGAAATTCTAAAAGACTTAGTCCCCTGAATTACTTAGATTACTATATAAAATACATTTTTTCTATTTTTAAGGATTAACAATTGGGAATCTCATAATCATAATTTAACTTTTTCTAATGATCAAATAAGCTGCTGTTCTTATGGTAATCTCAATTATGAAAGCACAATTTGATAGCTATTGTAAAGTAATTCTAACTTTACTTAGAGTAAAGTTCTACTACCTTGGCATAGATACATGAAATGAGAACTTCCTCTTTATGTGTAGAAGTTCCATCATCTTTCTAGCAAAGTTAAACCCATCATACTACTAAATTTTATGATAGGGAGCCCCAAGAACTTAATAAAATAAAAGAGTGCCCTAAACATATACTATTTTCAATTGATTATTTTAATAATTATTTATTGATTATTTTATATTCTTTGACATTCTTTGAAGAAAAGAAAACTAACATGCAGATGAGGAATCATCAGGGCAAGATCAAGAACAAACAGAATATTTAGACTGTTTGAGAGATGGTGTGTTAGACTTTTCATCACTGTGACAAATACAAACACATGACACTGGCATGCTCCCAGTGACTTTCTTACTCCAAAACCTCCCAAAATCATGCCACAACTGGGGATCAAGCCTTTAACACATGAGTCTATGGGGACATTTCATATCAAACCATAACAGAGAGTCATTATAGGAAGAACCATAGGAACAAAATCAAGACAACCCAAACTCACCCAAGAAATACAAGGAAAAACTCCTGGCACCTGAGTTATCTTCCTGCCAAACACTGAATGCTAGAAAATGACTCCAGCTGTCCCTCTCCTTCATGTTTATCTCTTAAAGACTTGACCTTTTTTTTTTTTTACTTAAGTATGTCCCACAGCCTTACAATAAAAGTGCTCTCTCTGTATAAGCCAGAGAAAATGGAACACAGGGAGAAGCTAAGGTTAAGTTTGAAGGTTCTTGGTATCTGTATACTATGAAAGCTTCTAGAAAGCTGTAGCTGGTGTTGTCTGGGACTAGAAAAAAATAATTTTTGAGTGGGAAGAGATAAAAAATTTAATTGTCAGTCTTTCCAAATTAGTTATTATAAAATTTAATTGAAGTACATGGTCTTCCATTCTAAATGAATAATTCTTTTTACTATTAAAAAAATACCTTTTTAAAAATTAATTCTTAAGGACAGAGAAAAGCAGTAGTGTCACAATAGTTAAGACTTTATTCCAGGAGAAACCTTTATCTTATTTGATTAATTTTAACTTTTGAAGAGTTAATGCATTTTTGTGAGAAGTACATGAAAATAAAAATCAGACTTCCCTACTAATGAGCAATAACCATATTCATATACATTTCCTATACCTTTCCATTGACTACTAGGAATATTCCCTTGTTTTCTATATAAAAACAAACTTAGAAGGGCCCCAGGTCAGAGAGTTAGTTAGGTACCAAAAATAAGACTATTTTAACACTAAACTAATCAGAACCCATTTTTTGATATTTTTTATTGTTGCGATGGGTTGGGGGTACATTGTGGCATTTACAAAAGTTCTTACAATAGAACCCAATTCTTATGCACAAGAGAAATTGAACTTTTGCAATTTAATTGGCAGTCCTCTAGTAGGGAAGCCAAACGGCAAAAGATTCTAGTTAGTAAGGCTGGTGTATTTCACTAAATTACTAAGAAATAAGAGTTGTCTGGAAGGTTTAATGACATCACGGATTAACTAACAACATGAAAGAGCAGTGTGATAATGAATTAGTAAATATCAAACTTATATCTAGACTACATTTGGTCAGCAAATGATAGCTAAAGACACTGAATTTAAAGTTGCTTAATCTAAACGAAATTCAGGTCTTTCAGCTCTTATGAAATAACTTAGGATAAGTTATTTCATCTCTCTAAAGACCAATTTCCTTAACCTATACAAGGAAGTTAGTAGTGGCCTTTACTTCTTAAGGTGTTGCAATAATTAAATGAAAGATGAAAAACTCTTGACCAAGGTAAAATCTCAGTAATGGTTTTAAAGATAATAATACCACAGAAGGAAATAATGCAGGTAAAATACCACTGTTGTTTAAACATACATATAATAAAATAAATTAAACATTGCAATAAATTTATGAGGTTTAAGTATATTTTTTACAACTTAAGGAATTTGATCTCTGGTTTTTCTGTCTTCCCCCAGTTCTGACAAAGGAGGCAAGGACAATCCAACCATGAGCATTTCAACTTTTTTTATCATAGTGTTTAAAGTAATAAGCAACAGACATTTGTTCACAAGATAATAATTCTGATTTCAAACATCCCTGAAGTAGAATTAAAGAAAATAAGATTAATTAGAGCTATTAAGAAAAAAGGAAAGACATAAATTATGCCTACCATGAATTAAGATAAATCTGACAGAAGGCAGACATCATTTTCCTACCTCCCGGATGATTCCAATGCATAAATGTTTTTATTGCAGATTTCATTGTGATAGTCAAAAAAGGGTAACACATACTTGAGCTATCTTCCTAAAGAACCCTGAGATCAGTTGTTCTGTCATGATAAACTCTGAACAAAGTCTATTTAGAAAATGAATGAAGGAGAAATTAGTGGATAGATGCAGGGAAGGATAGGAGTTATATATGACAAGGAATCAAGCTTAGGAGCAGAAGCATGGGAGACTTTTCATAAACTAGTGAATTTCAGATCACTTTATCACAATCTCATTGCTGGGGAGGTGGAAGTCAGGAATGAATTGACTACTGGGAAATGCCAAGAGACTTCTGCCTATTTTCAGTGTGAAAACTGCAACAAATAACTGACTTAAATGATATCGTGTGCTGAGGGACACAAATGAATCATGAAATTATTTTGTTGTGACTGCACATACAACCATGTCAAAATGATTTACTACTGAGACTCTCACACTCCTTTTGGCAGGCATATTCTCATGATTACATTTGCTACTTGCCCCCATTCTCTCCAAACTACAAATTGTACAAAGATGCTAAAAGTTAAGAGTGCTGATGTTCCTGGGAATGGTTACATATTTCCATCTCCACAATGATGTTTATATCCATGTTGAACATTTTTAGAATGTTTGTCCTTTCTCTGGTTGCTCCCTAACAGATTTTCCTTTGCTTCATTTTATGTTCAAAAGCTCAACTATATGTAAGATAATATAAATGGTGTCTTATAAATACCACATATGATATCATAGCATGTATGATATGTACATATTTCAATATAGACAGATAGATGATGATGATAATAGACAGATAGATAGATAGACAGATGTAATCTCAATTAACTGAATAATAATTTTCCCCTGCAGGAACTCAAGAGGAAGATGAAGGAGATGACTGTCTGTTGGGGTCTGTGGATGAATTCTGGTGGTTTCCGCACATGTGGAGTCACATGCAGCCCCACCTCTTCCATAATGAGTCATCTTTGGTGGAGCAGATGTTTCTCAACAAAAAGTTTGCCTTAGTAAGTACCTTACTTTGACTACTGCATTGAAGTAGCCTATATTGACTAGAGAAATAACAAGGTTTTCATATTAAAAACTTCCTTGAGACTTTGGCATATTGGCCCTCTCTAAGCAGCTTTTCTCTCTGATCATTAAGAAGATCTTGGGATTGCAGTCTTTCAGTTTGAGGCTCGTGAGCATGTATTGGGTGCTTATCACCATGTTAATGCTTTAAGGGGTCTAATTTTAAGAGACACTTCACAAGATGCAAAACTGTTACTGTAACACTATGGACAGAGCTCATAAGACTTATCTACTGTCCAGAAAGAGCTTCCTACTGCACTAGGAAGGCAGAATATACACATTGATCAAATCTCCAACAAAATGAGATAGTCCATGATTTAGTGTCAAACTGTAAATACAAAACTCTTAGTTCAGAGAAAGAAGTGTCATTGGGAGTGGTAAGGGATGAGTTCTTGTGGAAATGCCATTGGGTACATCCTGAAATACCAGTAAAATTTATGTGTTGGGATAAACTGGAGTGAAATAAGACTAAAGTAAAATACCAGGAAAGAGACCATAAAGTGGTCACAAGACAATGAAGACTCCATCTAGGAAATGAAAAGATATTCCAAACATACATGTTATATGGATAGAACATTTGGTTGGCTTAAGTAAGGCATATTGTTTATACTGAAGGGTTTATGATTTGGACCAGGGGAATTCACAGTAAAAGTTTTAAGTTTGAGTAGTTCACCTTTGTGGTACTATAATCAAAGTTATACAAGAAGGTATTAGAATTCATAAACTCTATTGTTCTTTCTTAAAGACATAAAAAATCAGGAGTTCATGCTTGTTTTTTAACTTTAATCTACTCCCCAAAATAAACATTTTAGAGGGCATCCTTGTTATGGATTGATATCTTGTACAAAAAGTAAGAATAGGGTTTGTCTAAACTTATATCATGAAACAAATTACAAGCTCCTATAAGATGAAGAGTCACCTTTTTTCCAAAAAACTAAAGATAGTAAATAGCATATAAAATTGGGCAATTTGCAATAGGACTAAAAATTCTATCTCAGTACAGCAAGCATTGATTCTGTTATCTGCAGAAGTTTAACACTGCTGATTTTAAAAATATTAATCACCAAGTGATGATGTGGAGATTACTTGTGAAGTTGCTAAGTAAATCCGTAACGAAAAAGAGAAAGGAATTTGTGAGGGAAGAAAATATGTAAATATAGTGAGAGAAGGCAGGAAGGTTTGTTATTTTTGTTGCTGTTTTGGTAGCCTTCAAAAATAGTTTATCAGAGCAAGTTTGATAAAAAGACAAGTCATTCACTGTTTTATCCCTTACAACTCAAACAGTATTTAGAAAAATAGGTGTTCTATTATCATGTGAGTGAGTCAATGGATGCCAATATTGTGTTCATATTTAAAATTTTTAATACTTGAGAGCAAATATGGTAAGAATATGAGTTACATGTTTTTTTTACAATTTCATCATAAACTGAAAGAATAATTCTAAATCAAAATCTGAATTGATTTGATCTGATAATCTTATAATCTGATAATTCTTATCCTCCTAATTCAAGTGCAAGCAGAGATTGCTTAGGAATGTCATTTCTAACTATATGATGACAAACCAGATTATGGTGCTTGAGGCAGCAGAGAACAGTCATGGAGGATGAAGATCCTCATCTTCAGAAATAAGACTAAATGTATCTTTAATGTTTAATCAAATATAAATCAATGGATTTTTTATTGGTCAAGGGAAGATAGATAAGGAAGAAAGACTGAGTCCTGGATTAGCTAGTCCCCAGCCATTACAACATAAAAGAGAATGTATACGTAAAGCATTTAGAGCAGCAGTTAGCACATAACTTTCAGTAGATGGCAGCTGTTATTTTTATTATCGTTATATTTAATATCATAAAACTATCATCTTCAATTTTTGCCTGGGCTCTTGAGTTGTTTAAAGTAACTGGTAATAGGGACAGAATCTGTACGTTTAAAAGTTTGTTTTGTATTGATATGATTTCCTTAATGTGAATTTTATACAATTTATAAACATGCATTAGCTAAGACTTACTTACCATTAAGGCATTAGAGCTCCAAATTGCATTGCAGCTAAATTTAAAGGTCTAATAAGAAAAGACCAATTGTTTAAGTTTCTCTATATTTTGTGTTAGTTCCTTCATTTCTCACAATATTTCTGTATTATTTCCTATATTTCTTTATAGGTATAATTATTTTTCCTTTATGTATGAGAATCACAGAAATATAGTAACTACTTTGTGACAGAATTAAAACCAGAAATTCAAGTCTTGTGATTCTACATAAACTGTGCCACTTGGGTTTCCCCACTAGCCTCTTGGACCCAATTCACAGGTTTAAGTGTAGATTTCCCTACTTATTGGTAATCCTGGCAATATAAGAGAAATGGAGAATTTGAGGTAGAAGTTACAGAGCAACTTTTCCCTTGGATTTCTAGAGTAACTTTCCACATGATTGAATATTATTTACCAGTTGATATAGAAACTACTCCAATTCAGCTGAAACTATTCTGGAGGAAACCCTTCGCTGTTACATTCCTAAATTAGTTTATATCCTGCTTTTCTCCATCAGATTGGAGGCTCTCGATTTTTAAATGAACATAAATGTTTCCCAATGAAAGAACATTCAAAGAAGCATTGGGCTGCCCTCAGAACAAATAGGTGTTCAAACCAAGGATGAAGGTCATGGATGCAATATTCAAATGGGTGATTGAGTTAAAGAATGTTTAAAGTCTCCTTCCAACTAAGAATCTGAGACTATGATCTGAAACTCTAGGCCCTACTTTCACTATCTATAGCCAAACACCTGTCATTTTCATTGAGTATTGAAAATTACTTCTGACCTATTATCCTCTTGCACAATGTGGACACATGCAACTCACAGAGGAATTTGATGCCCATTTAATTTAGCTTTCAAAGCTCTGTCTAATAACTTAGTATGGAACATTAAACAAATTGCTTAAGCAAACTTGCATTTGATGATTGCAACTATCAAAGGGAATGCAGCTTTAGAGTTTGATTTTTTCTAAAAAAAACTTAGTTATCAAATAAGTACTAGCTCCAGAATTGAACTGAAATTTTAAATGGAGACTTTTTTTGAAAGGTACCATCTCTGAAGTAAAGATTAATTTTACATTGATAACTGAACTACCACACTGTCTGAAGTATCTACTGCACAGCTTCAAAAATAAGAGAAGGTAGCCCTAGAAAAGTAAAATTATCAATAAAAAATACTCTCAGTTGAAGAATTGTACCTAAATTTTGGCAAATCTAGTAGTTTAATTTTTAATGATAAAATAATTAATAGAGTTTTTTTTAGAATTCTTTGTCAGTATCAGATAATATTTAACATTCTTTCAGATAATATTATAAAAATTTTTAATAGTGTAACAAGTTCCTGAAAACATGAAGTCATACTGTGGATTGTAGTTTTGATTGCATTATCATCATTTTTCAAATAATGGCTCTTTTTCTCCTTCTTTTCCAAGTTTAGCAGATGTCTATGGCCAATTATATAACATTTTAGATTGGTAAGCACATTAACTTTTCCAATATGGAAATAAAGATTATAGTACCAAAATATAATTTAAAATATATTGAAAGACTTGATGATTTAAGAAATATGTGATAATCTTTCAATTAGTTTGCTTGCTAGTAGAGAAGCAATAAATCCTATCATTTTTATTTCAGTGGAGCATTTTATTAAAAGGCACACTATACTTTCATTTTATTAATATTGAATACAGAGTGTAATTTTAGTGGTCTTAATAGAAGTGGAGAGTACCAACCAGGATGCAGAGTCCACTCAGAGCTGGTAGACACTTCCAGAGTAATCTAGGCAGCACAATTTAAGAAAGACACTGGCCATTACACAGTGCAGGATGGCCAAAGTCTATATAAAATTTACTTCATAAAATGAATGGCTTCACAAAATGAAGGGCAAGAGATAAGATAGGAGACTAAAGGATATATTATCAAGTTTAATATTCAACTTAAGAGGGCTGGTATGTTCATGCTAGCTATTTACAATGTAAAATGTGACAATACTATCTCTAATGCCACTATCACTGTATACCCTCCCCCAAGATGTCCCAAACCTTTCAGCTACTCAGCAACGAAATGAACCTGGCCCACAAACTGTCTCCAGTCTTCAACCCTCATCTGCCAGCAGTTGTGACTAGTCAATAGTATAACATGCTGATTGGTAACTATTTTGAGTATGGCTAATATAATCAGCAATCTTAGGATTTAGAAAGAACTAGAATCAGTGTAATCATGAAGGAAATCACAAAAGAGCAGCAAATTAAATTTAAATAAGCTTCTAGGAAGAATGATACTTGACATCTAGTAGGTATTCAATAAATGATTATTAGATGAAAATAAATAAATATTTCTTCAAGCTCTTAAAATTCTATTCATTATGATCTTAAAATGCACTTTTTTGTTATCATTTGGATGATCCAACAGGCAGGAAATGACTAACATTGAAAAGATGGTTTGCTATTGGCAGTTCCCCAGAGAAAGAGGCATGTAGTATTATGTAGGGCTACCTGGAGAGGCACTGGAGTTGGTCAGGAGGCAGAGGAAACAAGGCAAAAATGTGGTTTCTGGAGGGAAGGGAAGGCAAATGCAGGGAAAGCAGCTTAAGGTCAGCTACTTTGAATGCTTTCAATGGGCTCTGAGGTGTCTTAGTTGCCTGGTCCATGACCCTGGGGTGATTAGAGCAGGGAAATAATTGGTGGCTGAGGTAGAAGCTCTGGATTGGTTGATTTGCATTTGAAGAGTGTGCAGTCAGGCAAGAAGACTATGTTATCTCCAAGAAGTAGCTAGAGCAAGAATCTCTCCAGGATCAGTAGGTCCCGGATATCAAATCAGCAGAAAATAAAAAGACATGATTGATACATTTAAAGATGCTTCACTCCAGGTTTTGTATCTTGAAGCAACTGATTTTCAAACTTCTCATC